GATAGCGGGCAGGGGTCCACTGAAGCCTGCGGAAGTGGTTCTCTGAAACGGATTGTCAGTTTTAAGAGTTGACCGGAGGGCATCCCGCTGCAGGGAGACTGCTTAGAGAAATAAACTGCTTCTTACTCGTCAGTGAGGAGCTTACGCTTCATCCTCTCTGCACAACCGTGTTTCATTTAATGATGTTTGGTTGCGTAAAGGAAGCAATTGCCTGCGTTGCTGTACGTATCCAAAGTGGGCAGCCTACTGATGGACGTTGCTAATTTTGCGTTGCATCTGATGTAGAAAGTCGCAAGTGAAAAAGAGTCCGATGGCACGCTGCTTTGGGTATTAGAAATACACTGAAGAAGCCCAACTAGTTATGATCTGATCTTGGCTCGTATTGTGTCGAAGGGAGGAGCCCTGATAGTTCCCAAAGGGGACGCGTGGCAGTAGCAGGATAGAGAACTATTAAAATCTCAGTATGGAGTAAAAATTTTTTTCTCAAACTGCCAGAGTATCCAGAAGACCTTATTACTGCTGCTGTAGGAAAATACATCTGGGGCAAGCTAATTCCTGGTGTTACACCACACAGATGGAAAAATTCTCACCAGGGTTTCCTGCGAGCGAGCATGAATCACAGCCATGCGTGGCCCCCGCTCAAATGCCTCTGATTTAATACCACGAACAGTGCACATCTTAATCCATACAAGGTGGGGGTTCTTCCACTGTTGGTTGTTTGGGTGGGGTTTTTTTAAGCAAGAAACATGCCTGTTGAGGTACCTGAATGTGCTACACACATGGACAATCAGAACCGTGTTCTTTAAATTGTTCTCAGTCTATAGCGTTGTCAAATGTTTCCCAACTTTGACAGCAGCAAGATATGCAGGGAGCCAGAAGCCTGTTAGTATCGCAGGGTAAACTTTGTAAATAAAGTTACAGGCGTGTAGCTCCATGCTACCTGGGAAACAGGTCCACTGAACAAAATCTAAGCAAACGAGACGGTTACTTTGTCACAGATTTTGAGTTGTAGAATTTCTACCTTTCGTCATCTTTAACTACTTGAGCATCTGTCCACTAAGCTACAGAAGGGACTGTTCTTTTTATACTTTGCAAGCATGTAGATAAGCTGTTGCTGAAAATTTTTTAAGCAATATGTAGTTTGAGTTCCTGTCTTGGATCTGGATTAATCCGTAGATGACTATTTCAAAGGTCAAGGTCTTCCTGCAGAGAAATAATGTAGTTATTTATACATCCTGCAGCCCTGTACAATTGTATTCTTTTCTAATTACCCTATGGAGTAAAACTAAAATTAATAATTAAAAAAAAAATACTGCTAGCTGTAACTCTTGAATTTTTGTATGGTCAAGAATCTGGAGATAGCCATCCTGCTTGAAATTAAAATACTGCCATTATGATGGGAAAAGATTTAAAAGAGCACTAGGTAAACTTTAAAATTTATTTCAATGTTTGTATCTGACAAATAATTATGTATGACTAAAGTGAGAAAATGTTCAAGGAACAATAGCTGTAAATAGTGCTAGAATGTTATTTGTATATTTAGTGTGTTAACTTACAAAAAGAATATTACCAGCACCTTAGTTTAACCTTTGGTGCATTTATTTATTTGGACAACCTATGGAAGAGACAGAATTGAATCTGAATTTCAGAGCCTTGTTACCCACTGTAAAAACGCTTTAACTGACTTGGTGGCCTGCCATTTAAAAACAAAAAGCAAACGTACAACATCACAAAAGTCGTTTCCTGAACAAGACTTGGCCAGGAATGTCAAAGCTGAATGCTGGGGCGCCCCTTTCCTGATGTGCTGTGCCTTCCTTCCCTTTTCAGAGGGGCGTGAGGCGAGTAGGGAGTGCCAGTCACGCTTGGCTTTGCTGTCCCCCCCATGTGTGAAGCTGCCTTACGTTTTTCTTTAGATTTCAGCTCTTAAGATCTTCACTACCCTTCTGCAATCTGTTCGGAGTCAGGCTGCAAATAGGCGGTTGATATTATTTAATTTTTTTTTAAAATAAAATTCTGGAGAAGTATCCATTTATAAAGTATTCCTAGTGAATTCCTGTACATAAAGAATTTGATCTGTACATTCTGCTGGTTTTTATTTAGTGTTAGATGTATAAAGTTATGGTTATTTGTCATTAAATAAACTGAGCTTTGCCATGAATTACTCTTTGAAGCAACATTTTCTTGGGGGGTCGGGAGGGGGGAAGTGTTAGAGAATTACTTATTCTTCTTCTGTATTTAACCTTCCATATATAGATAAATGGCTGAATAGTTCTAATAATGCCTATTTTCTAATTTTTGCTTGAGTCTCAAAAAATTACCTTGTATGAGGGAGGGAAACCCACTGCCCTCCTAAATTGTGTCAGAACATGGCCACGCAAGAGCAGAGCGCTACCAAACCGGTGCGTGTTTGTACTGAAACCCCTTCGGCTTGCAAGACCTCTCAGTGGAGGAGGCAAGTGGGAGGTTGTGGCTGGGAAGTCATCCCCTGCTGTCCTTTCTCCTGGCTGAAGGAGGAGCTGCACCAGCTGACCTTGGAGCAACATCAAGGTGATGCACCCATGTGCATTAACCCTTCTGTGAGCCCATACAGGTAGCCAAGCTGAGTGGGAGGTGTGTAAGTAAATAAACCCCTTGAGTTTCAAAAGGCTGAGTGCCGAAGGAGAACTGCAGCCTGCCCTCGAACAAATGCTCTTCGCTAGGGACGCAACAGGTCACTCTGTGGCCACCATCGGGCGCAGGGCTTTCGGGAACGCGCTTACACGTCTAGTGTGACTTTGCAGGTACTTTTCAGCAAGCAGCAGTTTGTCTTGCACCCCCATGAGAGTTTTCTCCTGAGGGCAGTGTTTCTCATGTTAGGTGAAGTGCCCTGTAATAACATCAGCACTTGCTCACTCGGGGCTTTCAGATGCGTAGGAGCCCAAGCTCTCCTTGTCACAGTCCTAAAGTTCAGATGTGAAGGGGACTAATAAACAAGTATCCGAGTAACAAAAATAAAGCATGGCCTAAGATACTTGCTGGTGTCGCAATTGCTCTTTCACTACGCTGCTGTATCTGGTGTGGAGGTCGGTGTACGTATGAAAGTGACAGGCCACCACAGTTACACACCTCTTTCACAAAAGCAAAGGCAGAATTACGATTTTATAACAAGCTACCGAGCATCAGCCAACACTTTATGTACAACTACTATGTTTACAAATTATGGAAAGCTGGGGAAGAGAAGGAGAGAGAATTACATTTTTATTATGACTTGCATTACCTTAATACACTCGTACTGCAAGGAAAAACATAAACATAGGCTCACGACCTCAAGTTCCAGTGCAGCTCTTGCTACAGAACCACAAACGCTTTATTTGTGCATCTGTCTCATCAGGAAATCCAACCCCGAGAACCAAATTTAAGAACTAAGACACAAGATTCACAAGGGTTTTTTGGATCTCGCGCTACGCCACCGAACCAAAACAATACGTAAGCTCATGGCCAGCGGTGACCGTCACCGCCGCTCCTACTCGCCCTACCTAGCCTGAAGGACAGCTACCGGCACGTAAGTACCCACACCGCAAAAAGCGTGCGCCACTGAGTTTAAAGGTTTGCTTTGGTAACTGAATCTTGCCTGGACTCCCACCACTCCGGACTTCTAAATGGAAGTGCATAAACAGAAATTTAACACGCTATATAGAGTGCAAGCATAACAGTTCATGTTTCATGCTTTTTAATTCTATGGATGACTATGCATCTGTCCTGAGGCAACGGCTCCAAATTACTAAATGCAAGTAGCTTTCCAAAGCGAGCACTACGCAGTTTTTTAAGATGGCAATATATCAAAATTAGAGAACAGTAGGAGAGCCCTTTGTTAGTAAAAGCAGAAGAAATCAGGAAGGTGTTTGTTAACAGGATAAAGTAAAAAAGCAGATTGTTAGTTGCCCAATTTTTATGGGGTTCTAGCGTCTCTTGGCAGAGGAACTAGACAAATTACGGTGACTTTCAAATGTAACCTCCCCTTCCGTAGCTTAAGGGCAGAACTACTCAGCATTCCTCAATTTACAGTTTTATAGTGAATTAAAAAAAAAAAAACCAACAAACCCCAACCTCTTTGCAGAACACTTTTTAAGGCTACTAACTACACAGATAAAAACCCTGTTGCTTCCCCAAACAGATTCATCTTCTTGTCTTACGGCAGCCTAGAAAGAGTTCTAGTTACACCGGTGATTTCCAACAGTTTAAAACCTCAGTTTGCCTCTTTAGGCAGCAGACGCTGCTGTTTTCTCAAAAGCTGACTTGTCCTCCAGGTCTCCTCACAACAAAAGCTTTGGAAAAGCCCCCCGCAGCAGACCGCACTCAGCACAGGCGCCCCAGTTCTGGCAAGGAGGTGCTCCACAAATCTGGCAGACGCAGAGCTCAAGCGCATCGGGCCTGAATGCGGCTGCTGCCGCGGTGGCCACATGAGGACAGCGTAGTTGGGTTTTGCCAGAGCTGGCTGAATGCTGTAGCTGGGTCACCTGTGGCATGGGAGAAAGCCCATGAAATCAAAACAGTATCCACCATCGGCCACCTTACAGACAGGCTGGTCAGGCACTTCCTTCTGCTGGTAAAATACAGATTGCGAGAATCTGTGGACAGTGCACCTCCTGGGCTTTTAAAGGAATGAAATCAGGTGTGTAAGGGGCTACACCCAGAGTTGCCTGAACCACTGCCACTAGTAGGCACCTGCACTGGTTTGGGTTTGGTTTCTTTTTTTTAACTATTACTTTAATATATTTAGCAATAGGTGAGTTTGGATCCATTCACAACCCAGCAGGCTCACACGCAGCCTAGCTGCGGGGTGGCACAGGGAAGGTTACTCGACGACTACTTACATCTTCACCTACTGATGTCTCAACTGTTTTGCAAGCTGCTCAGGTGCTAAGTAAAGCTTTACTGCTAAGCAAGCATAAGCCCTCCGAGTTAAAACTGCGCAAGTTACTTGGATAGACATTTCAAGCACTGATAGGTATAGATACCTTGCTATACTGAGCAGCTAAAGTTCTCAGTGTATCTCCTGGAAGCACTTAAGATAGCTAAATCAGGCAATCTGCCATGAGTTTTAGGATCCCCAACTATTCTTAGAAAAAGAATAAAAACAAAACAAAAAAACCAAACAAAAAACCCCCCCACCCCACTCCAGGACTATCTCCGTGCAAAGACCATGACTGTTTAATATAAGCCTAGAACTTCACCTGAAGTTCTAGGTAACATTTGCCTTGACAATACTTTCCAGATCAGTTCTTTCCTGCAAGTGTTGGACATTAAACCCCAGCAGACACCCTTGTAGCTACAAGATCAAGCTTGTTAGGCACTCAGTCCTGAGTGGATTTAGGCCATCCCAATCATTTTTCTTCCGTGAAGCACGGACAAGGAACAGAACTCATCCATCAAGTGAGGCAGGATCTCTGCTCGCCTTCAGCTGAGATCTAGAAGCTGCTGGAGTCTCTCACAAGGTCAAGGATTATGTTTATTGACCACGGGAGCAAGTAAGACAAATATAACTTTTGCTCTCTCACTTGCATGGAAGGTATTTCCTAGCACGTCTGCTGTTCTGCCTAGCAATTTCCTAAAGGATTTTGAAGTACCAGGGAATTCCATTGAAATGAATGTCTGCTTCAGCCAAAGATGTGGAAGACATTGTTGGTGGCAGGTTAACGAAAAAAGAAGAGGCCTCAAAGTCATCCTCTTATCCTTACTCAAAGTTCCCTTTTGCTTTTTTCCAATACGATGGACCGAGACAGTATCAAGTAACTACTAAGGAGCAAGATAAAATAGTTATTCACTGTGAATTACCACTATCTTAAAGGGATTTATTTTGACAAACATAACCACATGTAATAAAAATAAGTGAAAAGTAAATGCTTCATTTTGCCTTGCCTAGTTCCCGTAATGCCCAAATCGGTTTTGGAAGTCCTGAAAGTCAGTTTTGAAAGTGTCTTTCGTTTTGTTTTAAATAAACCAAAGATTTCTGCTATGGAAAAAAAATAATGTATACGTTTTTATGTTACGTTTATAACAAGGCTTTTAAAGAAAATAGTTACAGGTATTCAACTGCATCAGACTTCAAAAGAAAAAGAGATTACACATACAATACAAAAATACAAAAAAATATTCTTTAGAACTTACAAACTCAGAAGTCTAAGTGGTCAGAGCTTTCCTAAAGTAAAAAAAAAAACAAAAAAACAAACCAAAACCCTTCAAGATGCACTTTCCTTTCTGCACTTGCAGGTTCAACTTCAGCATGAAGGAAGGTTTTAGAGGCAGGATGAAAGCAATTAACATATTGAATTCTACAGCCAGTTCCAGGCTGAAATTAATTTAGTTATCAACACTATCAGGTATCCGAGTTTAAAAAGAACCTTTTGTTTGTTGGGGGAGGGGTGTGTGTGCTGTTGATAACATCTGTTTAACCAGTTCTGCTAGTAAAATGTTTTAAAGATATGCAGTCTGAATTAGACAGTCCTTGCTAGGTTCAAAATCCTACAGCACTGTTCTGCAGTATCAAAGCTAGGAAATTAAACCGACCAGACTAACGTCGTTGTCAAAAATTACTGCAAAAGGCAGACAGCTAGGAAAAGGTGGAGTCTTATTTCTGAAGCTGACAATTGTTGGAAGCATTAGGACTGCAAATACGATATTCTTCTTTAACCTGATAGCATCCACTGAAGTCACAGACATCAAGGCATTTTGTTTTAAATGGCAAGACAGGGAAAGTGCATCTTAAGATTTTTCTTACTTAAGCAGTGAGTTATTGATTTTTGGTGTGGCTTTTATTCCTTCTAGGCATAGTAAAGAAAAATATTTCAACCAAACGTGAAGCTTAATGTACATCAGCTTGCCTTTTTGGTGGTGGCTTTTGTGTACCACGAGGAAATGCTAACAAGCACTACTCAAGGCTAATGATTTAAGAGGAGCACATTGAAAATACTGATTTACCTTTGTAGTGAATATTCTTTACAGACTGTATCTAATATACAGACAAGGCCCGTCTCCTTAGGATGAAACAAGCCACAGAAGGTTACACATCCTACATGAAGTTTTAAACAAAATCAGAGCTAAGTTACCAGAGCCACTCAGAGCAACAGAATTCCTAGTTTGCAGAGATTTAACAAAAGGTGACTGCAGGGAGAAGAAAAAAAAAATCCAGGTTATTATTTCCTGCATAAGTTTATATTCAAATTAATAGTCCAGTAACACTTCTAGCACAAGACAATGCTCACTTTCTTTAGCAGTATTCCTAGGAGTCAACTGTTTCTCCTGTTATGAAGAGGGAGCCAGAAGTGAGAATGCCAGAGCATTCAATGTCAACCTGATTAAAGAGACAGTAACCTTTTTCATCCACCTTAATTCATCACTGACAAAAAAAAAAAAAAAAAAATCTTAAAAAGGTACCACTCCAATTTCTTTATTATCCGTAACCTTTTGAAACTAATCACATGGAACTACAAAATTAGCAAATGCCTTGAAATCTGTATACAAAACATAAATTACCTCTAATTTCAAACTCAGTTATTAGTGTACCACTCAAAATCTTAAAAAAGTGGCTCCAAAGATAGTCTTATACCATTCTTAAAAAAGGAAACTGTTCCTTTAACGTTACACCCTCCCCTCCCCCCAAACACCCAACTCTCAATCCACATCATCATTTAGTTGTTTTCTTGGTCATGGACATTTCCAAGATGAGATTTTATATTTCGTTCCCATAGCTTCTGGTTGTCAGAAAAACCATGCTTTCCTTTATTGAAGGAATTTGGTCCTGCTGAGGTTGGTGTATCCCTGTGAAAAGTAAAACAAGAGCAGTTGAGAAAGTCAGTTCAACCACAGTAGTTTGTGCAACATGGCACTGAAAACGCCAATTTCAAGTCCAACCTGCCGCCAGAAACTACCACACATTTCTTTCTTTCCTCACTATTAGCAACTGTAAGGTGGCCACAGAACCCATCTCTCTGTGGCATGTCAAGGCAGAGCAACAAGACAGGTCAGCAGAGGAGGTGGGAGTGGCAGTAACTGCTGCCAGCTGTGAAGAATTTGTTGCAAGGGCTACAAAATTGAGGATCCAAATTTGCTACTGGAGAAAAAAGCCCCACTGAACATTAGCGAGCCTCCAAGGGACTGACTGAAAGCAGTCTACCATAATGAACATCTTTAAAATATACACACCCAAAGTTCATCCCGAACTGAAGTGAAGCCTCCTCTGAAAACATCCCTGTTTATCTTAGGATTGGCCCAATACTCAAATTTGCAGCAAGCAGAAGAATTACATGCATTTGTTTTAAAAGTAAACAAGCTGTTCTTTGTCTCTCTGGAAGAGATTATTCTCATCTTCCCCTTGCATGGGAGTTTAAAAATCTGAGCAGACTACCCTACTTCAGGGTAATTTATAAAATGGAGAACTAGAAAGATAAACAAAGTTTAGCAGCAAGCAGGAACTCCCACCTACTGCCTTTTCAAGAAGCTAGCTAGCTTCTATTTAATATAGAACCAATTTCTTCCTCAGAAAGAAGGTGGCAAATAAGATCCAAAGCGCAAATGTGAATGTACTATTTTTAACGTGGAGCTAAAACATTAGAAAATATCTGTATTAAAGTTTTCTTGTTTCTGTAGAAAAAGCCTTGTGAACCTATTCTATCTTCCTGTATTTCTAAATCATGCGCAAGATCTGACCTATGCTCGAGAAGGTATTGTCACACACTCACCCTTCTCCAAACCATAGTTAAAAGCTGACCTACCTTCCAATGTTCTTCATGCGCATCTTGGCTTCTGGAGGCATTTCTTCTGGCTCACTCTACAGAGAGAGAAAGGAGGTTAAAGTGTGGCTGGCCACTATCTTTTGAACATTTCAAATGCCTGGCAAGATAAAGTATGGAATACAGCCCTACAGAAAAGCAAAGTGACTGAGGACAAAACAGCAGTTCTACAAGGTTATAGAAAGAAATACAAATTCCTTTGTTCACCTCTGTGTAAGACAGAGCAGTAACACAACAGTAAAATATGCAGCAAACCAGAAGAAGCGCAACTTTTCTTTGCCTCCCCTTTACCAGGCCCAGAGAAAGCAACCATAAATTCAGATTATGTTGTGCAACTCATTTCCAAGGAAAAGTTATCAGCACTTTAACGATTTCTTGAACCAACACAGAGCTACAAAGTTGTAGTCTTAAACAGAAACACAAGAGAAGTTTTGAGGTTGAAAACCCCTGACATTTACATTAAGAACCTTAAATGACCCACTGTCTCTGCCTAACTCTAACCCGCGACGGTACTTTCAGTTGTGTTGATCAATAGCTTATTACTCACATCTTCATCTTCATTGAAAGCTGCTGCTACAGAAAGAGTTTTTGGAGCAAGGGTTGGAACAGGCTCTTTAGGCTTCTGAAAAAGACCAAACACACAAGTAAGTCTACTAGCTCAAAAAAGCTACCCTTGATATTTTAAGTATTTTGGTAAAATGAAGTCAAACATCTTCAATGAAATGGGCAAGGAGGGGGAAAAGTGTTTTTGTTTGAGTCAAGCAGATAAAGGTTTCTCTCTAATGAAAGAGGAAAACGGCTGTTCACTTGTGCATGCCATACCCTGAGAAGCAAGTTGAGCCCTCTCATATTACAATTCCCCACAAGCAAGTCTTAACTTTCTAGCACACTGCGGGGGTACACAGCCCCTGGTGCATGACACAAACAATTAAATCAGAACCCGAACAAGTTGGGCTATTCAAATTTTTACTATGTCACTGTTTCCATTATTCTTTTGGAGAATTCTTATCCATCAATGCCAGAAAGATAAGTATGTTTATTTTCTTGTCTTTTAACAACACAGCAGATTTCTGGCTTAAAACAATTCAGTACTTTTTAACCAGCACCAGTGTGCATCACACAGCCTGACTATTATAAGGCTCATTTAAAAAGTATTATTTTGATTTCAAATAAATACTTTCCCCTATTTAATGTGCAAGAAGGTAACAAACTCACAACTGCTACACGTAATACAGCGGAGAGATCAAAAGTAACTTCGAGATCACTAAGAAAGCATTGAGTCATCAGTAACCATTTGCTTCTACAGTACCACCAATTATCTGAATCAATCCTATACAGTGCTTCCTCCATTTTGACTTTATTGGCGATTATTTCATATACAGTCTTGGTTTCAAAGTTGATGCTGCAACAGAGTCCTTATGCGACTGTCTACAGCTATTCCTCACCAACAGTGTATAACATATAAATATTGTGCCATTTTTTAAAGCATCAGCTCCACAGGAATGGATAACATACTAAGGGAGTAAAAATAACTAAAAAGAAACAGGATAAACTTCAGCACTGTGTGATCTAGTGCACTGTCAGTCACACACTAAATTCAGTGAGCCAGAAATCCTGAGCCAAATTTATTGCCACTGGAAGTATCTTTCTACACGAGAAACAGGAGCTTGCTAGTGGCTCAGAGAAGGCAGCTTTTTCCAAAGTCTGAGCTGACCTGATTGCATTTATACCCGAGAATGCTGCCAGCCCACATCTCCCTCCCATCTCAAAATAACGAAGCACTCTTTTTGCCTTTTGCAGGTCTGTAAAATGCTGGCATTGCAGGTGCAAGCCTTTCATGATTATAGTCTGAATTTAATACAGACAAGGATTTATAAGGTATCCATCACAGTGGTATGTAGGAAGTGTAAATGAACTGTATTAAAAAGAGAGGCAGCATCTGGCTTGTCCTTGTCCAAGCTAGCAGAGGACTATTTTGGTAGTAAAGAGAAGCATCAGATTCATATCTGCACAAGGATACCTTGTACTGGATAATAAAGGGGATCAGAATTCTTGGGAACCTATATAATGAAGCCTCATCTCTTGCACCTTATATAAATGAATCATAATGACCTCGCAAAGCACAGGCAAAGTCATTGAAAAACAAACTATAGTTCCCCATGCTAAAATAAGATCTTTGGAGTGGAAGACTACCTATTAAGCCATCTAGGAGAGTACTTGCTTTCTAGTAGCTTCAGCATCCTATGCAGTGAAGCTTCCAGCACTCATTTCAAAGTAGCCTGAACAGTTTAACAAGTCTGCTCATTTCCCTCAGGAAATTATTCCAGGCTTATCAAATCTCATTACAAAATCATTCTGTACGTTCAAAGATTTACAGTTCATTTCAATCAAGCCTTATGCTTCCTGAGACAACTGACCTGTTATTAATCACCTTGAAGTACTTACACATGCATGACTAGCTGGCCCTGCAATGCTTGCTTAAACTTTATTCAAGTTACCCACATGTAATTCAAGGCTTTCCTTCTGCAAGGAAGCCTCCCCAAAGCACCTTCCCCTTTGCCTCACTTCCCTTAAAATTAAAAGCCCTCAGACAACTTACATTTGCTCCTAGTTTGATGGATATTGCAGATGCCTTCTTTGCTGTCTGACTGCCTATGGAAAATCCAAACTTGGACATTTTGGCAGGAGCAGGCTTTGTGTTGAAGTCTTCAGCTTCTTCATTAGCTGCCCGTTTCTCTGCGCTGCGACTCGAACTTTCTCCTCCATTACTGGAAGAAACAGTCTTAGTTTTCACAGGTTTTTCTGCCTCTTCTTCAGGTCCTGGTGAAGTCGAAACAACTTACCAAGATGAGCTATTTTTACTGAGCAGATTGATGGGAGCAGCAACCTCAAAAAGCATTATACTTTGGGTGCAACAGGTAAGGTGTTTTTAGTGACAGCAGTTTCCACCAATGTACATTTAGTGGACAGCAAAACACAAAGAGGAGAAGAAACTGCAAGCACTCCACTACTTGTAAAGAACTTCTTGTGTATGAGCCAGGAAAACAATCTTGAAGCACCATCTCTTTATTTAGTATGGAAGTCAAAGTTCATGTAGTAAATTAAATGTAGATGACTAAATCTTTTTAGGGTTTAAGTTGCCATAGATAAGCTTTCACAATTGGAATCCCAATTCCAAATCTAGAGTAGACAATCTAAGTTAAAATTAATTATACTAAATTTCTACACGAACATGTCCATGCCAGTCTCTAGGCTTGTCTGGCACAACTCTAAAATCATGGAAGTGACTACAGTGAGGCCGGCTGTCTCAATCATGTTTCAAGTCACTGCTTGTCCGCATCTCATCTGTAATAAATCTGCCAAGCTCTGCTTGAGGAAGGAATCAGCACTAGAAAAACATATATATAGATTTCATCTTTTCCAGTTTTGTATAGTCATGGAAAACATAGCAGCTGAACAATGATCCACAGAGAAAAAAAACCACTCAAGTCACATTTTCATTCCTATACACTCAGCTTCTGCAGCTACACCAAGAGACAAAGGTGTCCTTGGAAAACTCATACTGAACATAATAAATGCTTCAGCAAAAATACATTTCTCTGCTGCTGCAATAAGCAAACCACTGCAGTAGCAGAAGGAGAAAAAAAAACAAAACCAAAACAAAGCAAAAAAAAAGGAACTGGGGAATGGACAGGAAAGTGCTCATACTATCAACTAAGAAAAAAATGGAGCTAGCACCAGTTCCTTATTATATCAAGTGGAGAACAGGACCCTCCACCTGCAGCAAATTCAGACCGTCAGGGGAGAAAGCTCTTTGCACTGCTCTCTAGCAGCAAAATGCTATCAATTAAGATAGAGCAATGGGAGAGAAGCTAATCTCAACGGGAGGTCAACAAGATTGTAGCTCTGAGGAAAAAAGGAAGCAAATAACATCAGGAGAAAGAAGAGCTAGGGACACCATCTCTATATATTTTTCTGCTATTTCCCAAACAATAAACAACAGGACATACATACCCTTTCTACCTCACTCTTCTGCTATCAAGATAACAAGTGATTGGAAAAAAAATGGATTTATTATTCACCTTTGGAAACATGGCAGATAGCAAAAAAACAAAAACAAATTACTAACTTTAATCAATTTCACTCTATTAAAAAAATGGTACTGGTCTGCACCACTAGAAATTTGACCCAAAGAGTATAGATATAAAAGTGACAAACAAAGGAGGAAAGAGAAACAAGCAACATTTACCCAAGTGACCTTGGGTACTGGTTGCTGTTTTAGCAGAGTTTTCTACGCAGCAGTCTGCAAGGCTATGAGAAGCTCTTTACAGCTAGTCTATGAAATCACATTAAACAGAATATTCAATTACAAGTCCAGTCCAGGTAAACTATAGACTGTAAAGAGATTCAAGGGTTGGTAGAAAATTCATTGGCCTTAAAAGTATTGGGACCGTGGGCCAAAAAGTCGTCTTTTTCGTAAGATACAAAATCCACAGCCGCCCAAATCTCAGGGCACACTGGACCAGTCCTGGTTGCTAAGCTAATGCTAGCTTGAAGCGAACGACACTACAGCTTATTTCTTTGAGTGCAAATTCTAGAATATTGCTAAGCACGAGATGAAGCCTACCCACATCTGTTTTCTCACAAAAATATTAAATAGCTTCTCTCTCAAAATTAGCTCCTAATGTTACTTCTGCTAGGCTCCACTTAGGATGAACTGTAGATTGCAGAAAGAAACAACCTTCCTTACAAAAACTCTTACTGAAGGAGCTATAAAGGGCATAGGACAATTGGGGTAGGTAGGCAGGGAGCCATTGTGCTGTTCTATTTCTGCAGGAAGCAGAAATGCAGACATATATTATCCATTAAACAAGTCTCTCCCACCTCCCATGCCACTGCATATATATTTTTCAAGACAGTAAGGCTCCTTTATTATTTCCTAGAGATCTCAAGGAGGTCATACTTCACCTATAGAAAGCACCGGTACTACATCAAACACTAGTTTGACCAGCGCCCTCTTCATGGATGGCAGTAATAAAAAGCTGTCCTACTTCACAAATGAGTTTTTCTGATGAGTATCAACAAGCTATGTAAGTGGACAACTTTTGCTATCTAGGAGGTTTAAGCGACAAGACTGACAGTGCTAATTGCACAGCATTTCAGGATCTCTTGCCCCTGGGAGCACGACCATTTGTGGTCGTGGGAACAAACCAGCCACAACTACATTAACTTTAAGGTAAACCCCACTGATCTTGGCAAAAGCTAAAGACTCTAAAATGCTTTCAAAAATCATTAGGGAGTAACTATCCTTCCTTAAGGCCAAAGTACTGTAACTCATTAAGATCATGTTCCAGGACATCAAACAGTACACAAGACAGTACGGGTAACTGACATACTGATGCTGTCCAGTTACTGTATTACTAACACAAAAATAACCCCAAACCCCAACCAACAAAAAAAACCCTGAACCAAACCCACAAACCCTCCCCCAAAAACCCAACAGAGAACCAAGACTCAAGGAACTACCTAAAATCAGCTATTCCTGTTTGTAATTCAGTGATTATTGGAAATAACACTCACTGTTGAGGCTATCCTAAGTAGTTTACAAGTATATTTAATCTTTCAACAGATCAAAGAAACACCCTCTGCCTACAGATATACTTAAACAAAAAAAAAAACAAAAAAAAAAAACAGGAAAGAGAAACTTTATCTTTGCAAAGACACTGTCTTCTCAATTTTAAGTCAGGGGAAGAAAAAAGCAAAGAAACATGATTAAAAATTTTAGAAGAACTGAAAGTAAGTAGTACAGAAAACGACAGGAATGTCCAATCGTAATGTAAATAATATAAAACCAAACAGAAAACTTGCAGATTGCTGCCAAGCAAAAAACACCAGGGTGCATAAAACAGCAGATAAGGAAGATTCACTGTACCCATTTTTAAAAGGTACCACGGCTGTTAAAAGCTAATCTTTAAGGCGTTGTCTTCATGCTTGCCAGCAGCAACAGCCAAATTTCTCTCAATACACGGCAGGGCTATTCCGTGTAGTTTTTTACAAAGAGAGAAATAACGCATTTACGTGCCCAAAAAGAAGCTGTTGGACGTTTAAAAAAAAGCTCCTGTAAGGCTGAGGCGTGAAGACAGCGGGCCCAGACCTCGGCCTTTCCTCCAGCTCAGCCCCCTCAGGCCCGGGCCGCCCCATCTGCCCGCAGGGCCAAGCACAGCACGGC